TCTGGTTGGTGGTTTTTCGATCCGGAGACAGCCAGGTAGCTTGATGAATCTTCTTATGCTGGAATCTAGTACTACAAATAACCATATTTCGGGCCCCGGCGAAGTCGATCAGCCTCAACCCATTTGTGGATGTTTCCTCGTGGAGGCTGAATTTACCGACCGTAGTGCCAAAGATACCTTCTTTGCCCACCCTGGCGTTAAAGTCGTCAAGCACGATTTTGACATCGTGGCTTGGGCAGCTCTCATAAGTGCTTTCCAAGCATTCATAAAAGGCATCTTTGGTCACATCGTCCTTCTCTTCCGTCGGGGCGTGTCCGCAAATCAGCGATATGTTGAAGAATCTCACTTTGATGCGGATTGTGGCTAGACGTTCATTCACCGGGGTGAAGGATAGTACTCGGCAACGGAGTCTCACTCCCACACCAAACTTGCGCTCCTTTATATGGCCACTGTAATAAGTGCCACAAAGACCTACTCGTCTCTGTCCTTGTCCCGTCCATCGCATTTTTTGGACGGCGGTGATGTCAGCCTTTATTCTTACGAGGACATCAACCAGCTGGGCAGCGGCACCTTCCCAATTAAGGGACCGGACATTCCAGGTGCATGGCCTCAATTCGTAGTCCTTATTTCGTTTGCCATGGTCGTCATCAAAAGTGGGGTCTCTCATCCGAGGCTGTTGTTGCGTTGTCATTGGGGTGGTTTTTTTACGTGGCGGGTCCCAAACCCAGCGCACAACCCTATGCAGGGGAATGTTTCGCCTTCTCACTTTAGCTCACCTTCAAATGGATGTTCTTAGGATACCCAGAAGATACTTGGTAAAGGACCGTGAGCTGCTTGAGTCATATGTAAAAGAATCGTTTCTGGCCACTCCCAAGTGAATGGCGATCAGAAAACTTTCCTCACTTGCGTGAACTTCTACACATGACTCCATCCTCCAAACAATTATTACCTAACGCCTTTTACATTCTGAACGTTTCCGAACAGGAAATTCGATTGGGCACACAAAATTTAGTGGAAATTCTTTGTTGAATAATTTCACTTTTCGTAAAGATCGGCGAATGCATTTTATGTGTTTCAGAAAGACAAGCGTATACTAAATGATTATTTTGTTGCGACAATTGGCCCAGTGGTCACTGACAGTCATACCAGCATAGAAACCAAAAATTTAATTAAAAAGTCTTACTATTTTTAGCTCAGTCTTCATTATATGGAGGCTTCAAAATTTATGGTCCGATTTCGTCCCATTTTTTCAAAGTTTTATTCCAAAATCTTCATTGCTGCTTGATTTATAAACTGTACTACTGTTTCTGTGTAATAAGTACTTTAAACCTATTTGGGGCAGAGTTACGCCCACACTTAAAAAATGTTGAAACCACCAACGACCTTCTTTACTTTCGTACTCCGTACTAAATTACATTTTTGTATCTTAATTTATGACTATTGTATCCCTTTGTAATTTTCTGTCTTTAATTTGAAGGGCGTGACAATGATCCTATTTCACTAGTATGCAATTCCAAACTTCTTTGGGTGCCAAGCAGGACAGGTTCTTCGATAAAGGGGAGTTGGGCAATTTTATTTATTTTTTATTAACTTAATAAAATAATTTTGTAAATTTTTATGGCGATTTGGGATTTTGTTAATTATTTTATTTATTTATATAGTATACAAAATAAGTTTCATAATCGCATTCTAATAGAAATTATAAACAGCGGAAGTATTATTATTTTAGTAGTAGCACCCAGTGTTTGTTGTTGTATGGTGTAAGTTGCTATGTGTTAATTTCGGGCAATCCGTCGATTTGCACACAAAATATCATATATTTATGTAGTACTGGCCCTAACTCCGGCGGCGGTGTGAAAGTTGAAACTGGCTTAATATCTTTAATACGTTGGGGTCGATGATATCATGTACTCATTTCAAATTACGATTAACCTTTTTCTCAACAATGTAGCTATAACGGTATTTTTCATGTGTCATGTTCTCTTTGGTTTGTTATGAATACCTGTGTGCGTCTGCGTCCTTCACCCATCAGCTAACAAAATAGCCGGTAGCGTGGCAAATATTAGAAATACCTTACCGGTTCCTGTGCGTCCAAAAAAAAATCGAGCTTATTCATTAACAACAATCAGTATATTCCATATATACATACAGCTGTGTGCTGTAGAAAAAGTCTTTTCGTATTTATAATCAAACTTCAACTTATTTTTATATATTTATACTAATAAATAAATAAAATAAATATATGTACCATTTTGGTCATCACCTTTTTGCTTTTTCCGCTACAGACACCATTCCATCAGTGTACAGACGAACTGACACAGCATCGTCTCCGTAATCTTCAACAAATTTCATTGGTGACTTGCGTGGCGTTCTTCCCTTTTCATAGACAAAATTTCAAAATATAGCGAATTTCTTCGTCATTTTCATTCATTTTCGAACAGCTCTAAATTAAATTTTTTTTTTCTAAAATCTAATCTTTTCAACTTTATATGGTATGACACAATGTGATTGGTAGGATTGGAGATATAGGGCTTCAACGACATCTATTGACAAAATACGAAAATACCTAATATATGTATTATTTTGATACCAGTTTTATTTTAATCATGAGGGGGAAGATGATCTAACCAGCGATTTAGCAAAATTTTAAAATTAAATTGTAGAACGTGTCAAGCTTGGCAATAATCAATTGAAAATGAAGTGGCACGAACTTTTAACAATATGAGGGCACGAAAATATTTAAATAATTAACTTTTTATTTTTGTACTAATAATAGTAATAATTTATTATTAATATTTTTTTTTTTTAATATAACTATAAACATTGTTCTTAGGGCCAAATAGGAATGGAAGGGGTGGAAAATTTGCTATTTGCTTAGGGCGGTAAATTGTCTCAAGCGGCATCAGGGCCACATGTCATAAAGATTTATTAATTTTTGAATTAAATTTTCCTAATAATTAGTATCAACTCTACAACAATAAAATTCAGTTAAAATCCGCTTCATGCGGGTAATTGCTGCTCGAACTTCTTCATGGTCGATCAACGGAACGTCCTCTCCATCATCATCGATTGGGGAATCGAGTTCATCTTCTCCTGGTGTTATGCTTTCACTGTCATTCAGCAGGTTGGTGAAATTTTCCCTCCATAATTTAAGTATACTCTGGGCGTCGGTCACTAGATCACCTCTGGAGGTTCGACAAGAGTATGTTCGGTTCTTGAAACCTTCCGTTTCTGCTTCTTTTCCTAGAATTTTCAGTATTACCCCTGTCGGTCAACTTGTCATGCTTTTCGTACTCACACATTTCGGTCTCTCTCTTGTGTTTTCTACAAATGATATCTATCCCATGCCGCACTTGTTGTGGTCAATCGTAACGTTGCGAGGTAGGCAGCCTGTTTTCTCTCCGCTGCGACACGGCACTCCTCGTCGTACTAGCTGTTCTTTTGCACTTTCCGAAAACCAATGGTTTCGGTTGCAGCTGTCTGTGAGGAGTTTGAAATGCGTCCCACAGTTCCCTTATACCGAGTTGCTGACGAGTGCTTTCAGGGAGCAGTAATTCTGTTTTGTTGTCTGTTGTGATTTCAGCCTGTTGACGTGCGGTTTTTGCTGCATAGAGGTGGATGCGTATCTTCACTGCAACAATATAGCGGTCCGAGTCAATGTAAGGCCGGAATGCGTGAGTTGCTTGAGCCATTTGTAAGAGAACAAAGTGAATGACGCTCACAGAACTTTCCCCACTTGTGTGATCTTCTAGACATGACTCCATCCTCCATACGTGTTCTGTTATTTTACTTACATTACTGTATTGTCACTAAGTTATTCATACTTACAAATTTTTTTCAAAGTAAAATTGAAATGTTGATAAATTGCTGTTATATACTTAATTGGCTTATTACACTTACTATGGAAAAGACAATTAAACTATACTATCAATTGATAAATTTTTTTTTTTTTAATTTAAAAATACCTTAGGCGCTATGGACGAAATCAGTCAAGGTGTTCAGTGCTCAGGTAACAGAACTTCGAAAGGTAATTTTATTATTTTTTTTCTCTTTTAAATAATTGCCTATAAGTAAAACGTCTAATTATAGATTTTGCTCAAAAGCGCAAATGCGGCTTGTGTCGTCAGGAGGGTCATACTCGCTTAAAGTGTCCTCGAAAATCTAAGCTTCAAAATTAAGTATTTTATATTTCTTTGATTGTTATTAAAATATGGAACTACTTTTTTATTTTGCTTATAAAATACATACAGGTTCAGGACTATTGTTTTTAAAATTAATGGTGCGGTTATAGGGTTAGGTTAGGTTCGATGGCGGGTTTTAAATTCAAGTTAGTGGTATGCGACTTCACGTGAAAAAAACTACTGACTTTTCCGATAATGCGATCTATAAAAGAAACGCATGCGATCGCGCTTGCTATGTTAATGCAATTGAATTCTTTATTTTACTTATTTTATACCTAGCCAAAACCTTAATCTAACGGCTTAAACTAGTTGTACATGTAGTATGTTAGTATATACAAAAAAGGGGAAGTACAAGGTGCATTCCAACGTAAATAGAAATTTTTGTCGACTCGTGCGTTAGAATCTGCTATCTTTTGTCCAGTGAGAATTTCATGACATTTCATTGATCAACATGTGGTCCAATCAAAATCCATGATCACTGGAAATTCCATCGAAATTGTGCGTGAATTCATCAACAATCATCCAAAATCATCATTGAAATTTGAGGAAATGGAATTGAACATCTCCAAAACATCGATTTATCACATTTGAGCGAATACATATGTATAACCATTAACCACTCCCCGTATTCACCTGATATGGCACCTTGCGACTGCTTCCTTTTCGGAAAAATGCATTTACAAAATAAACCACTCTTTCGACATGCCGTGTAAAAAGCTGTATTGAAGCAGAAGGAGACTAATTTGAATAAAATAAATTGATTTTGCCGAAAAAACCATTGTTCTGTTTTTTTATTAACCTTGTAGAATTCATTTCGTTAAAATATAGTAAAAGATTAAGGCAAGTATTTGAAATAGTATTATTAGGGTAAGTATCTTATATAAATAAACTTTATAATTTTATTTGAAATTTTTAATAACTAATTTCATTTAAATTAAGTTAGTATTTATAGTAGTAGTAGTATTTATTCCAGGCCCCAGGAATATATCAGAGTCTTATGCAGTTCACATAATTGGATGACAGCCTGTTGCACCTGCGCTGGTGTGGTTATACGAAATGAATTATTTTTGAACCTGAGATATAAAAATTAATTTCAGTTAAAATTGTCAAAAAATAAATAAAAATATTGTATTTACTTGTTTAAACAAAACATGTTACAAAGTGTAATACATACTATGAGAATGGCAAACCCACATCGTATAGTGTGTAGTGTGAAATGGGTGAGGAATGGTGAATAAGAGAGAAATTTAAAATGTTTGTATCTTAAAAATGGCATTAAAAAAGAAAAAAATACAATGCTTAGACTATTTTGAGCTCTAAAGTGGCAGAATTTAAATAAATATACATATTTAACCTCCACTTTAAGGGACCGTTAATTGACTCTATTCCTGTTTTGATGAATAGATCAAAAAATAAGAGGAATGTCATTGAAAAGTTGTTGGAGAGAATTTCGTTAAGTAGAATAAATCTAATCATCGTTAAGGGTCTATTATTTAAAGCGATGATCACCGGGATGACCGACTCTAACCTAATCAAAGGTTCATTAAAACAGTGATTGATAAAGACTTGTCCAGAAACCTTAGTCTAGTTATACAACATGTTGTAGCAGAGAATAACAATTTTGTTCACCTAACGGTAATTTGTAACATATGTATATATAAATCACCACAGTGGTGTTAAGATATATACATATATATGTATCTATATTACTATAAAGGGTTAAAACCAGGGTTCTCATTTACTACTCCGTAGCAGCAAAATTTCTAGAATTATTGCTATGCTATCGCTACCGCTCTCACTTTGTCGGGAGCTACAGCATAGCCTTAGCATAACAATGTAAGAGTATGTGCTCTACTCTGCTCCGAGTTTTGTTAGGTAAAAAACTATAACTGTAGCGAGAGCAAAAAATTAAATGCTGCGCTATGCTCTGGGGTAGCGGTAGCAAAAAATTGGAAGCGATAGCAGAGCGAAGTTAATGAAAATTTTCATGTGGTACAGCTCCCGCATGTGTTTGTTTTTTTTTTGTTTTTTTTTTTTTTTTGGTATTTTCTAATCCAACCATCTAAAAGTATGTAGGATACTTTTTTTTTATCTCTTCATGTTAAAATTCAATACAATTTCAATAATTCAAAAATAGAAGTAAATAAGTAAAAATTGTCATATCCATACATACTTAGTATACTGATTTTGCTTCTGAACCTGGCACTTTTTTTAGAACGAACAAATTTGGCGAATTTAAAAGGTGCCGGTTAAGAAAAAGTTAAAAAGGGGAAAGTATATGTAGTTAGTTTCGAAAATTTATAATAATTGAGTAATGTAATACATTTCTAATATATGATGTTTTTGGTAATATAAAATTGGTAAACATTTTACATCATATGAAAAATTTTTTATAATTTATTCCATTATTATCTAATTTACTTTATTAATAAATTTCTTAAAATATTTGATTTTAGATTTATAAAGTCACTTGATGTAATAAGTGCCAAAATGCTACGGGACTAGCGTAGTTTTTCAAACACTGGTTAAAACTAAAAATTTCCGGTAACAAAATGTCCCTGATTTAATTCTTTATCGAAGCATGGAGGAGCATCTGCAGTTTGAAAATGCTATTAAAAAGATAACATTTTTCCGCCTCCTAATAAGTTTTATGTACAAATTAACACAGTTTGATGCTGCTTAGACAACGCAACAACCACCATTGACTCGCACACAAATAACCACCAACAACGGTAGTTGCATAATCAATCATCCGACCGTATATCTCGTACAGCTCATCGTCGCAACGTCGACTCATCCGTTGTTGACATCGTCCAAGCCTCTGCACCATATAGCAGGACGGGAATTATGAGTGACTTATAGAGTTTGGTTTTTGTTTGCCGAGAGAGGACTTTGCTTCTTAATTGCCTACTCAGTCCGAAGTAGCACCTGTTGGTAAGAGTTATCCTGCGTTGGATTTCTAGGCTGACATTGTTGGTGGTGTTACGCTGGTTCCAAGATAGTCAAAGTTATCTACAACTTCAAAGCTATGACTGTCAACAGTGACGTGAGTGCCAAGTCGCGAGTGTGACGACTGTTTGTTTGATGACAGGAGATATTTCGTCTTGTCCTCGTTCACTGCCAGACCCATTTGTGTTGCTTCCTTGTCCAGTCTGGAGAACGCAGAACTAACGGCGCGGGTGTTGAGGGCGATGATGTCAATATCATCGGCATACGCCAGCAGCTGTACACTCTTATAGAAGATGGTACCTTCTATATTTAGTTCTGCAGCTCGAACTATTTTCTCCAGAAGCAGGTTGAAAAAGTCGCACGATAAGGAATCGCCTTGTCTGAAACCTCGTTTGGTATCGAACGGCTTGGAGAGGTCCTTCACGATTCTGACGGAGCTTTTGGTGTTGCCCAACGTCAGCTTACACAGCCGTATAAGTTTTGCAGGGATACCAAATTCAGACATCGCGGCGTAAAGGCAGCTCCTTTTCGTGCTGTCGAAAGCAGCTTTGAAAYCGACGAAGAGGTGGTGAGTGTCGATTCTCCTTTCACGGGTCTTTTCTAAGATTTGGCGCATGGTGAATATCTGGTCGGTTGTTGATTTTCCGGGTCTAAAGCCACACTGATAAGGTCCAATCAGTTTGTTGACGGCGGGCTTTAATCTTTCACACAATATGCTCGATAGAATCTTATATGCGATATTGAGGAGGCTTATCTCACGGTAGTTGGCGCAGATTGTGGGGTCTCCTTTTTTGAGGATTGGGCATAGCACACTTAAATTCCAATCATTGGGCATGCTTTCGTCCGACCATATTTTACAAAGAAGCTGATGCATGCTCCTTATCAGTTCTCCGCCGCCGTGTTTGAATAGCTCGGCCGGCAATCCATCGGCTCCGCCGCTTTGTTGTTCTTCAGGCGGGTAATTGCTATTCGAACTTCTTCCTGGTCGGGCAATGGAACATCTGCTCCATCGTCGTCGATTGGGGCATCGGGTTCGTCTTCTCCTGGCGTTGTGCGTTCACTGCCATTCAGCAGGCTGGAGAAGTGTTCCCTCCATAATTTAAGTATGCTCTGTGCATCGGTGACTAGATCATCTTTGGGGGTTCTACATGCTCCGGTCTTGAACTGTCTCTTATACACATCTAGATGTGTATAAGCGACTGGTGAATATCTGGTCGGTTCTTGATCTTCCAGGTCTGAAGCCACACTGATAAGGTCCAATCAGTTTGTTGACGGTGGGCTTTAATCTTTCACACAATACGCTCGATAGAATCTTATATGCAATGTTGAAGAAACTTATCTCACGGTAGTTGGCGCAGATTGTGGGGTCTCCTTTTTTGAGGATTGGGCATAGCGCACTTAAATTCCAATCGTTGGGCATGCTTTCGTCCGACCATATTTTACAAAGAAGCTAATGCAAGCTCCTTATCAGTTCTTCAACCCTTTTTTGAATAGCTCGGCCGGCAATCCATCGGGCCCCGCCGCTTTGTTGTTCTTCGGGCGGGTAATTGCTATTCGAACTTCTACTTGGTCGGGCAATAGAACTTCTGCTCCATCGTCATCGATTGGGGAATCGGATTCGCCTTCTCCTGGCGTTGTGCGTTCACTGCCATTCAGCAGGCTGGAGAAGTGTTCCCTCCATAATTTAAGTATGATCTGGGCATCGGTGACTAGATCACCCTTCACCGTTCTTGAAACCTTTTGTAAGCCGCCGAATTTTTTCGTAGAATTTTCGAGCATTACCCCTGTCGGCCAGCTTATCAAGCTCTTCGTACTCATGCATTTCGGCCTCTTTCTTCTTCTGTCTACAAATGCGTCTCGCTTCCCTCTTCAACTCTCGGTATCTATCCCATCCCGCACGTGTTGTGGATGATCGTAACGTTGCGTGGTARGCAGCCTGTTTTCTCTCCGCTGTTACACGGCACTCCTCGTCGCACCAGCTGTTCTTTTGCACTTTCCGAAAACCAATGGTTTCGGTTGCAGCTGTCTGTAAGGAGTTTGAAATGCCGTCCAGAGAGCAGGAGTGCAAGCCGAGAGAAAATAGTTCGCC